TGCTGTTGAGCTGGACAGTTCTCAGGGCTGATCTTGTACCTCCCTCTGCAGAGACAGAAAACGACCTACTCTGTGTACCCGAAGGCTGAGCCCACACCTGTCACCTCAACCGCACCCCCTGTCAGCACCCTCTACTCCTCCCCTGTGGTAAGTGCACAGCTGCCCTGTTGGGTCAGTGCCACCCTGCCAGGTCACCAGGGGTCAATCCTTGCTTGGAGGGAACTATAGCCATGAGAGTATGGCGCTGTGCAGCCCCTTCCTGAAAACACTGCTGTGCTGGGGGCACTCAGGAGACCCTGCTCTGAACACTGGGCGCGCTGTTCCTCTGCTGCATGAACAGGAGGTGAACCACCACCGGGCTGAAGGAAGGAAGACAGACGTGCCCGCTGTCCCTCCCAGTCCTGCACTCCTGCTGTTGCCTGGCACTGGCTGGCAGGATATGCACAGGTCTGGGCAAGGTATCTGTCATAGCAGTGAGTTGTGTAGTGGGCTGCGGAATCCCCATGTGTCTCTAAGATCTGATGCCCCCCCTCCTCTCTCTCTCTCTCCCCAGAACTCCTCTGCTCCGCTGGCTGAGGACATCGACCCCGAGGTAAGGACACAGGCCCCTCTGGTGCACAGTGTAGGCTGGTTCCTAGTCAGGCTTTGGCGCTGATCTTCTCCCTCTGCTTTTCCCGGCAGCTGGCTCGATACCTGAACCGTAACTACTGGGAGAAGAAGCAGGAGGAGGTTCGTAAGAGCCCCACCCCGTCTGCTCCACTGTCCCTCTCAGAGCCAGCCACCCAGCCTGGGGAAGCTCATCCCATCCCGCTCGGTGTCGTGGAGGTAAGATAAGGGCCCGATCCCACACCCATCTCTCTGAGGTCTGGCGGGGTTGGTTTGAATCAGTGCTCCCTGGGAACTGCCTGGCACCAGCCTCACCCCAGTCATGAAGCTCAGGTCCGGCTCCGGTCTAGGAGTGGGTTCTGGATCCCCACTCCCGAGAGGGTGGGGCTCAGGGGCTAACTGTGCTGCCCTGTGTCTCCAGCAGCAGTACCAGAATGGGGAGTCCGAGGAGAACCACGAGCAGTTCCTGAAGGCTCTGCAGAATGCTGTCACCACCTTCGTCAACCGTATGAAGAGCAACCACATGCGGGGCCGCAGCATCACCAATGACTCAGCTGTGCTCTCCCTCTTCCAGTCCATCAACAGCATGCATCCCCAGCTGCTGGAGCTACTCAACCAGCTGGATGAGCGCAGGTGTAGGTGGCTTCTGCTCCATTCCCCGGGGAAGGACACGACTGCTCCCTGCCAATGGCTTGTGGGCAGCTCTCTGGGACTGTGTGGTAGACTGCCTGGGGGGTGGTCTCTGTGGAAAAGTATACCCCATCGAAGGTCTTGTTGGGGGCCACCTGCTCTAGCTGGAGGCAGCTAATGCGCAGGCCTGGATGCTGCCTTGCCCTGCAGGTGCCTGATGCTGCATTTCTCTTCCCCAGTGTACTATGAGGGCCTGCAGGACAAGCTGGCACAGATCCGGGATGCCCGCGGGGCCCTGAATGCTTTGCGGGACGAGCACCGCGAGAAGCTGCGCCGGGCGGCCGAGGAGGCTGAGCGCCAGCGTCAAATCCAGCTGGCACAGAAGTTGGAGATCATGAGACAGAAAAAGCAGGTGAGGCAGGGACGCCTTTTCCAGGTGCCTCGTGGAGGGCAGGTGTCATGCCAGCGCCATTCCCAGGGCTTTCTGGTGGCCATGGCAGCTGTTCCCAGCTCCTGCCCTGGGCTGCTCTGTTGTTGGGTGGCTGGAGGCAGCCCTGTTCTGTGGAGAGGGTGGAGTCCCTGGGGCTGGCCTTGGTGTATGAGCTGCACGGCCAGGCTCCTGATGTGGGTGTGGTGCCGATCCCTGCAGGAGTACCTGGAGATGCAGCGGCAATTGGCCATCCAGCGGCTGCAGGAGCAGGAAAAGGAGAGGCAGATGCGCCTGGAGCAGCAAAAGCAGACCATCCAGATGAGAGCCCAGATGCCAGCTTTCTCTCTGCCCTATGCCCAGGTACAGCAGCCATGCCAGGGAGCCCTCCCATGGGCACTCTCCTCAGAACGCTCCCCTTCACGCTCTCTCCTTTCTGCAGCTCCAGGCCATGCCAGCAGCAGGAGGGGTGATCTATCAGCCATCTGGTCCCACCAGCTTCCCAGGCACCTTCAGCCCCGCAGGCTCTGTGGAGGGCTCTCCCATGCACAGCGTGTACATGAACCAGCCAGCTCCAGGCAACACTGGCCCCTACGCACCAATGCCTGTTGCAGGGGCAGGTGAGAGCCTGGGCCAAGCAGAGGTAGGCAGGGTTGGAATGCAGCACCAGTCACCTCACTGTGCCCTCTCTGCTCCAGATCCCAACATGGTGAACGCCTACGTGTACCAGGCAGGCGCAGGAAGCGGGCAGGCAGCGCCGCAAGGGCAGGTGGTTCCCACCACCAACCCAGCCTACTCCTCGTATCAGCCGACTCCGACGCAGGGCTACCAGGCAAGTGAGCAGAGTGCTGGGTCCCCCTTGCCCGTAGTGTGCCAGACTCACCGTAAATCTGGAACGCGGGACTCTGCAGTGCGTGGCACAGGCTGTCCGCTCCCGGGCTCTTGGGATCCCCTGCCACACAGTGGGGATGGGGATCAGTCCCAGATTGCCTGGGTCGCCCCTGGTGTCCCCTGTGGGATGGGGGGAGCCAGCTGCTCCCTGGACCCTGAGGGTGTTGGGGGAGAGCTGTGGGGCTGCTCCACGCTCACCCTGTGCTCTTCCCCGTAGAACGCTGCGTCCCAGTCGCAGAGCATCCCTGCCATCTCGCAGGCCCCACAGTCTGGCACCATGGGCTACATGGGGAGCCAGTCTGTCTCCATGGGGTACCAGCCCTACAACATGCAGGTGAGCACCCACCAAGGGTGAACTGCTTGGTGCCCTCTTGCAGCCTGGCTTGGGGCTGGGTGTTGGTTGCTATGGCGGCTGCTCACCAGCCAGGGGGTGAGGGTAAATGGGGCCTCTGCTGGCACTTGTGGGGGAAGGGCTATGGGGCTGGATTTTCTGTATCCCCTTGACCCATGTAGACCTACCCTGGCTTTTCACTGCTGCTGTTCTGAGCCCCAGATCCTTGGCAGCATGGGCCCACTGGGCCTGGCTGGGAGCTCAGGGGTCTTTGCCCCCGTGGTAAGGGGCAGAGGTCTAGCAGCTGGTCTGATTGCTCTCCCCTGCCCCCGCTCTAGGGCCTCATGTCGACCCTTCCTGGGCAGGAGCCAGCTCTGAGCAGCCTGCCACCCCAGCAGACTTACCTCTCGGGACAGCAGCCCGTGTATCAGCAGGTGAGACCGTCAGCCCTGCACGAACCCGGCATCTCCTTGTCACCCTCACTTCAGCTCCCTCCCTAGGCAGTTGGTCACAAACTGCGCTGATACCGCCCCCCCCCGCCCCACACCCTTATCACCAGGAGCCTTGGCTGTCGCCCTGCCTCCCCCATGCAGGGTGCTGAGACCTCCAGATCCAGGTGTATTCACCTGGGGGCTGGGCATGGGTGGGAGTGACCAGCTGGGGCCCTGTGCTTCCACCAGCAGCCCTCTGGGTAAGGTGTGGGGGAGGGGGTACCAAGGGAGGACTGCCTCCTAACAAACAGTTTGTCTGTTCCAGATGCCACCCCCAGCAGGCCCCCCCCAGCAGCAGCAGCAGCCTCAGCAGGCCCCATCGCAGGTACAGCAGGCCCAGGGCAGTGGCGAGGCCCAGCTCATCTCGTTCGACTGATCTTGGCGAGGGGGGCTTCCCAGTGTAACACTATTGTCTGCAGGAACCACTATGTACTTTAACTAGCCATTTCTGTCTCTTCCCTGCCCCCCTCCCTGGGGAACGGCCCTGCTCAAGGGGAGGGTGGGACTCTGGGGCCCTACCAGCTGGCATGCACCCTCTGGCCTGGCAGGGACCTCCCTGCCGCTCTGGCTCCCTGTGGCTTTTTCCCTGCCCTGTCCCCACCTAGCTGAAACGTGCCATGATTGCTGGAAGTTGTGAACCCCACCCCCACCCCAGCAGGTGGAGAATGAATGGGCGCTTGGCCCTTCACGAAGAGATTTCCGCAAGTCAGAGGCTGCAGACTGGCTGCTAGGCTTCCCCTCCAGGGCTGTTTGGGCAGGATGGTGACTGGGGCCCACTGGGCACCCGGTGACTGGGACCCAGCCCTGAGAAGAGCGAGCAATAATTGCACAGTCCAGGGACTCCCTTCCCTGCTCTGCAGCAGGCAAGAGACTTAAACATGCCCCAAGAACTTGCCTTGACCCTAGGGCAAATGGGGCAATGAGATCTGATGCAGAGCTGCCCCGTGCACAAAGCACGGCCTCTGCCACTATTCCCCTCTGCACAGTGCACCATGGGGGCTCCTCCTCTGCCCTAGTAGGAGCCTGGGCCCCTCACCACAACCTGCCCCCACACCCCCACCCTGATCCCCTGCCCCTTCATGGGAGCCTGGCCCTGTGCTTGCATTCCATGCTCCTGGGAGCTCAGGCCATTCCGCATGACCTATGCCTATATCCTCCACCCCCTCCTTGGGAGCCTGGGCCCTCCCTGCTTTTTGAACACTCATCTCTCCTACGTAGTGGTGGAGTAGGCAGAATGGAACCAGTGACAATAAAATGTATTTAAAGAGCTGTTGCTCTGGGTCTGGTGCTGCTGTTCCCATGAGAGCAGGGCCACTGCAGAGGGGTTTGGTGGAAGGCTGCTTGGCAGGTAGTGAAGCAGGGCTGTAACATGCTCCAGTGTTGATGCCCTCAGTGCCAAGCAACGGCTCTGCAGAGCCAGATTCACTGGCTTTGGATAGGACAGCAGGGCCACTCCTCCTCCCCCACACACTCTTAAGAGCGGACAGGGTCACCCGGAAGGGAAGGAGGATCCCTGCCTAGGACCCTCTGCAGGAGCTTGGATGCAGTGCTCACCACCCCTAGGCTGCTGGCCTCAATGCAGGCCCCAGGGAGCAGCTACCCTCAGCCCACAGGAGGAGACAGATTAATTTAAAAGCAGTTTATTCTTGGGTGTCCCTATCCCATCAGCTTCAGGCAGCCACGCCTAAACATCCTGCAGCCTAGCTGGGCCTACGCCAGCTCTCTCCTCCAAAAAATCAGGCATTTGTGGATTCTGGCATTTCCAGCTGGCAATGAGGAAAACGGGCATGAAGGTGAAGAACCACCAGGCTTCTAAAGGGCTTGAGAGCAGCGAGCAAGGCCCCCAGGCATGAGCTGCAGTAGAGCTATGTGTGTGGAAGGGGGCTGAAGCAGTCCTGTGGTTGGAGAAAGTTTGCCAGTCCCTCGTTTTCATAGGAACTAATGTTCAGCAGCTTAGCCCCAAGTCTTGAAACCTGCCTGTTTCCCACACCACCTTGAACCTGACCATGCGTTCAAGGCACAGCGCGTTGGGGGTGGCCATCTGCCACAGCTCCTCCACATCCCATAGCCCTCAGGCTGGATTCCTGCCAGTCAAAAAACCAACAGAAAGCTGGAGAGGCACAGAGCAGCATGTGAGTCTCAAGTGACTATGGCTGCCCTAGACTTTCCAAGGGGTGGGGCTGGGCTCATCCCCAGCTGCTGCCGTGTGATGAGCTCCAGCCAGCCCTGGGATGCAAATGGAGTATGCTCTCTGGGGAAGAGCCTCCCGCAGAGCACGGCCTGTGCCTGTAAGGGGGAGCCCATCCTGGGGAAGCTGCCACAGGTGACTTATGCTCTCCCAGATGGGAGAGACAGTTGCACCTGGGAACAGGACAAGTTATGTCTAGCCTAGAGCCCATCACCTGTGGGCTGGATGCAGATTTGGCCCCTTCAGGGCTTTCACACGGCAGGCCATCACCTAGCTACCACAATGCAGAATTGCTGGAGCCCCTGAGAAGAATTCAGCTCCTGGGGCACACCTCACCTCTCCTGGAGCTCCTCCTCCAGCTTCATGTTGCTCTCAGGGCTGATGATCCCATTGATGGCAAAGGGCTGCGAGCACAAAGTGCAGCCAGATTCATTCCTTGCCCTTCCCCAGTCCTCCCTTCTGTGCCCTGAGGAGCTGGCAGCAACAGCTAGTGGGTGTTTAACCCCTAGGCTCTATTTGATTTCAAGCCTCTCCCATGGGGTCTGGACATGGCAGTGTTAGACCCAGCAAGCAGGACCACAGGAGCGGGAAGATGTAGTACAGCATCGACTAGGACAATAGCAGTTGCTGGAGGAGCTGGGCAGAGCTCTGGGGACTTGCATCCCCATGTGCTGCTCAGCAGATTGCACAGCCTGTCCTGCGGGGGGAGGGGAACACACAGGCTCCTGGAGATCGTGCAGGGGTCCCAAGATCTCTCTGGTGGTTCACAAAGGGCTTCAGATTCCTGGAAAGACCTAATACCCTCCTGCTGCTTGGGGGTGGGGGGACAGAGGTTGGTGGTTAGGATTCTATTCTGCATACTTACCCCATAGATCTGGCAAACTCCCCCGGGCTTCAGCAGCTGCCCCACACCCTGGAATAGTCCCTGCAACACAAAGGCAGGATGTCACCGAGTTGGGCACTGGGGGTGGGGGGTGAGCCGAGGCCGGGGCCTGCCCCATATCCCAGTAGGAGCAAGACAAGGTGCCAGCACTGTTCCTCCAGAGCAATAATCCCTTGGGGCGGTGGGGGGTGCAGGCCTGAAAGGGCCACAGGCTCCTTCTGCCAGCGGGAGGAAGGATGTCTTTCCCACAAGGGGTTGCTTGCCGCAGCACCCCCTTGTTCCCTGCAGGGCTCAGTTTGTCCACATGCACACCTCCAGGCCTTGGGCAAGGAAGTGCAGCAGGTTGATGATGATGATGACATTGCAGCAGCCTTGGCTCAAGCCTGCCCACTGGTCCCAGGGCTGAGACACATCAATGGCCAGTGGCTTCTTCACGTTCGGCACCTTGGTGGCTCTGATGTAGCTAGAGATGCTGGAGGAAAAGACAGACAGGTAAACCAGGAGAGGCTGCTGGTGTCTGCCTAGTGGTGCTGCACTGCACCCAGACAGAGGCTGCCGCCTCCTGCTCTCACAATGGGGGATGCTGCAGGAGCTGCCCTGAGGTGCCAGCCTGGGATCCATTTAGCGACTGCCAGGGCCACAGTGCTGCCAGCATCACCCTACAGTGCAGGCAGTGGCGGTCTTGCTGGTTCCAGGTGGGGAAGAGGTGCATTCAGCTAGATCCTTCCCCCTCCACTAAAAGCCAGAAGGGGGCAGGAAGTGAGGCCTTGTAGCGGGTATATGTGGCTGCTCTCACCCAGACCACGGGCAAACACCTTCTCTCTCCCTGTTGTGCTGTAAGCACTGATGCTTGGACCAAGAATTACCCGGCATGGCAGCTGCCTCCAAGGGAGTGCAAGAGGAGGGATAGGGCTGCAGGAGAATTGCAAGTGAGGTGGCCATGCAGCCTAAGCCCCCCAGCTCTACAGATGTGTCTCCTTGCCCTTGGAATTTGTCCTGCGCTGGGGACAATGAAAACTGTTACAAGCCCATGGGGGTTGGAGTCACTGGAAGATGGCACGTTCCTAGACGCCCTCCCCCTGCCCCGATGCGGCGTTATATGTTCTGATTAGCCTAAACCTGAACAGCCTAGAAGGACTTAGCAGGGTTTGTGCAGTTTCCTAAGGCGAAGTGAGCACAGTCCCCGCTGAACACTGACAGAACCCTGTTCTCACTGAAGCGGTGGTGCTTGAGAGCTGCGGCCTAGCCCTCCTGTGGGCTGGGGGAGCTGGCAACGCTGTGGGCACAGCAGGTCAGGGCACTTTGGGCTCCACCTTACAAACTCCCCACTGTGTCCGTGATCGGAGCTGTAGGCAGCCCCACGCCATGGGAGTGAAATCCTCAGCGCCCCAAATCCTGCCTAGTGCGAAGCGGTCAGCAGCCGGGGGGGCACGCGAGCCGGGGGGTGCGGTCCCGGCCTCTGCCCAGGGCTCCTGGCAGGCCCGAGCCCAGGCGCGCCGCTCGCGGGCAGACGGGCTGACTTCCAAGGCTGCCGGGTGACATCAGGCCGGGCTTGGGCAGAACGCGCGGCCCCGGAGCCCGGCTGCAGCCCCAAGGCTGGGCTCGGGTCGCGCACGCAGCCAGCCAGCGCCTCCAGGATCAGCCCTGGGGCCGGGGCGCCGGCCGGGGCGAAGCGGGAACAGCGAGCCCCGCCCGCCCCCGGGAAGGCCCGAGCGGCCCCTCCGGGCCTGGGGGCCGGCAGCGTGGAGCGGCCCCGGGCAGGCCTCGCGGCTCCACGCCGGGCCGGGAACCCAGGCGTCCCGGCCCCGCCCCTGTCTGCGCCTCCGCCGCCGCTGCCGATAAAGTTGCCCTTGTTGCGGACGCGGTGCATGCTGGGTAGCGTGCAGTGCTTGCTCGGAGGACTGCGCGCCCGCCGGAGGGGGACCCGCCCGAGCCATAGAGACGTGGGAGGCGGAGGCTAGACTGTCACCCTTTGCCAGCGACATGGCCTGGGCAGGGCTAGAGCGCCCCGGCGACCACAGAGACTGGGGGGCAGAGCGCCGCCGCGTCCTCTGCCTGCTGCTGCCCGCCTCCGAGGCCGGGCGTCTCCTTCCTGCTGCGGGACCCAGCGTGCTCGGTGCCGGCGCCGCCATGCTGCCCGCCGCCCGCCCCCTCGGGGGGCCCTGCCTGAGGGGGCTCCGGGCCGCCGCCCGCCTGCTGCTGCGGTACCCCCGCCGCGCCCCCCCGGGAGCCCCGGCCCGCGCGCGCGGCCTGCGGGTCCCGCCACCAAGCTCGCGAGGCGCGAGCCCAGCACGGCCCCGTTCCCGGGGCGGGGGGTTGGTCTGCGCGGGGCTCTCCCGATCGCTGTCTGCGGCGTCCGGCGGGGCGGGGCGGGGCGGGGCGGGCGGTGACCGGGCCCCTCCCGGTGCGTGGCTGAGCTCCCTGCCCGGGCGGTGCCCCCCCCACGGCGCGGTCCGAGCCTGACGGGGCCTCTCTTTCCATGGTGACAGGCGGCAGCTGCCGGGAGTCCGTGCTGTGAGGATGCTGAGGACCAGCTGCCACCCAAGGACAGAAGCCCTGGCCAGCGCCCCCTTAGATAACGCCCCGAAGGAATATTCCCCCAAGATCCAGCAGCTGGTGCAGGACATCGCTAGCCTGACCCTACTGGAGATCTCGGACCTCAATGAGTTACTGAAGGTGGGCAGGACTTGGGCAGCCTGCCTGGTCAGACTAGCCTGTGCTCTGCCCCCTGTATGAAAAAGTTTGCCCCTCAACAGCTTGAGTCATATCTCCTCGCCCCCCCGCCCAAGTCTCCCCTCTTCCCCTCACCAGCTCCTTCACGAGCTCCCAGCCGTTTGCTGCTGCCTCTCCTTGCACAGGAAGGAGGCCCAGCTAGCAAACCCTAGCAGAAATTTGGGGGGGGGGGCACATGTGATCCCTCCCCCCCCCATCACCTCTGGAAAGTGCCCCACTTTGTATAGTTGGGCAGGGTACATGGCCTGGGCTGTACTAAGTTGGGGCATGCGTGCTCCCAAGGCGTGGAGGGAAGGCAGGATACTGGGGTGGTTGATTGTCAGGGCACAGAATGGAGCGGTTTCTCTGTCCTTTGTCTATGGCTGGGGTGTTCTGTGGTTGTTCCTCTTCTTGCTGGGAACACAGGGTAGGCTTGAAGTGCTGTTGATTACACTTTGTCATCTTCTGCAGAAGACACTGAAGATCCAGGACATGGGGCTGATGCCAATGGGTGGAATGATGCCACCACCTGCAATGCAGTCAGCCACTCAGGTATCATAGAATCATAGAATATCAGGGTTGGAAGGGACCCCAGAAGGTCATCTAGTCCAACCCCCTGCTCGAAGCAGGACCAATTCCCAGGTAACTCCCAGTTGCTCTGCTAGGGTCCTCCTCCGTGCCCCTGGACAAATGCCAGGGGAAGGGAAGTGCTGTCTAGGAAGATGGGCATTGGTTTCACCTTGTACTTTGGCAAATTTAGTTCTAGTGAGTCCAAAAATGCCCTGTGATTCTGAAGGTTGGTCTGAGCTAAACAAACCTACTCCTGGTTCTCCTAGGGGTCTTTATATCTATAGTGATCCTAGACAAGGAACTGGAGTGTTGGTAGAAGTTTATATAGCTGCCTATCAGTCTCGAAGTATCTTTCTCTTTGTGAATGCTGTGCCCCTCTGCAGGTTTGCCAGTTGACCAGAAGGGGCTGTTTGTCAAGTCCTGTGTGTGGCAGGGTGGAAGGGTCCTGAATGCTGCTGTACTTGGCCTCACTAGGCTTGTGTTGGTTCCAGGTAGCAGAAGAAGAGGTCCCCAAGAAGCAGGAGAAAATTCATTTCACTGTCAAGCTGACTGAGGTGAAGGCTGTGGAAAAAGTAAAACTGATCAAGGAAGTGAAGAACTGCATGCAGGGGCTTAACCTTGTCCAGGTGAGGAGATGGCACTTACCTCTGCCTGTATGATCTTGGTCACTGCTTGAGCAGCACCTCCCTGGGGCTGTGCTGGAAGCTCTGAGCCTCTTCCCCTCTGCCCAAACTATGTTCAAAAGTGCTTTTTAAAACTGAGACATTGGCTGTACTTCAGAATAGCCGCTTGGATTCCTCAGTATCCTTGAACCACAGTTTGTTCATGGGCTCCCTTTCCTGTGCACAGCTGTGTCCCAAGTGCATGGGGACTGAGCATGAGGCCTCCAACAGGAAGGCTATGTCTACGCTACCATAGTAAGTCGACCTACGCTACGCAACTCCAGCTAAATACCGTAGGTCGAGTTACCGTGGGAGGTCAATGGGAGAAACTCTCCGGTCTACTTGACTTACCTTACTCTTCTGGTGGAGGGTAGAGTACAGGGGTTGACTGGAGAGCGATCTGCTGTTGATTTGAAGGGTCTTCACTAGACGTGCTAAATCGATCTCAGAGCATGGATCCGGCCTGTAGTGTAGATATAGCCCAAGTGTCTGCACTTGTCTCCACTGCTTCCTTCAAAACAAGTGTCCCTTCTTCCCAGGATTTCCGGGTGGTTGGTTTCTAGAAGCAATAATGCACATTCTCACCAGATGGTGGCAGCAAAAACCTAACCTAACCATGGGTTTCAGAGTGCACCTGTGTAAGTCTGTATCCGTAAAAAGAAAAGGAGGACTTGTGGCACCTTAGAGACTAACAAATTTATTAGAGCACAAGCTTTCGTGAGCTACAGCTCACTGCATCGGATGCATCAAAAGCTTATGAGCAAATAAATTTGTTAGTCTCTAAGGTGCCACGAGTACTCCTTTTCTTTTTAACCTAACCATGTGAGAGAGCTGAGCCCCACATGAAATCTGCAAGAGAAGGGGGGCCATGGGAGGAAGACTCCCCCTCCCCTCCCTCACTTTAACAGCAGAAGAGTTTATTTATCCTGTTAAGTACAGGAAATCACAATCAACAGCTTAACTGACAGGCACAGGTTAAACAAGCCATGTAAAGCATTTTTTACTGAACACGTGAAAATCAGGGCCTAAGAGTCCAAAGACAGAATTGTCAGAACAGTTCATATGAGAGTCAGAGCTTATTTATCTTGAACTCTTCTGATGTCGCTTGTGTACTGGAGGTGGGAATAGTTCTGCAGAACTGTTTAAATTGGCCAAACCAGCTGCATTTAGCAAGCAGTGAAGCAATGAAAGATTTAGAGACTCCATTTACTGCTATTGGATTGCCTTCCTTCAACTCCCTCTTCAGCGTCTCCTAGAATATCAGGGTTGGAAGGGACCTCAGGAGGTCATCTAGTCCAACCTCCTGCTCAAAGCAGGACCAATCCCCAACTAAATCATCCCAGCCAGGGCTTTGTCAAGCCTGACTTTAAAAACTTCTAAGGAAGGAGATTCCACCACGTCCCTAGGTAACCCATTCTAGTGCTTCACCACCCTCCTAGTGAGAGAGTTTTTCCTAATATCCAACCTAAACCTCCCCCACTGCAACTTGAGACCATTACTCCTTGTTCTGTCATCTGCTACCACTGAGAACAGTCTAGATTCATCCTCTCTGGAACCCCCTTTCAGGCAGACTTGCACAGAGTCACAGCAGAAAAGCGAACTTCTCCTCTCTCACATTCTGTGAACTGTCTGCAGATCTTGGCAGAATTCTTCATTAGAAAGTCATCTGAACTTTCTCCATGATTTACAGGGAATGGCATGCGTCCATCCAATTCATAAGGTGTCCATCCACACTGACAAACAGAATAAAATGGAAGTTCACATTATCCTCCTCTACTTGACATTGGCCTTCTTGTGCAACAGCATTATGGACTTCCTGAATAGCCTTGTTATTTTCAAGGTGCTTTCAGTCACCAGTGCCTGTGGATGCAGTAAATTGGCATCACCACACATTGTACTCAGGTGCACTCTCCCCAGCAGGCAATGCCACAATTTATCCTAAGATCCCCTGCAGGGCTCTCTGGACTAGCTAGGGCTTCATTGCAGCTGGATTCAGTCCAGCAATGGCATCTCTCTCTAAGGAGTTTTGTTAATTGAGTTACTCAGGGATGTATCCCTCTCATTCACCAGCCTCTGTGAGCTGAAATTCCAGCCCTGGCCTGCTTCCCTGCATACACATGGCTGTGGCAGGGCACTTTGTTCTCTCAGAGGAGACTGTTGTCTCATTCTGGGTTTCTCACACCCTTAGAAGCAGGGATGGTTTCTGTTCTGCATGCCATCTTTAGTAGCCATGTTCAAGGCCCAATATGTGCCAAGGGTGGTTAAAAACTATCAGGATGTAGAAAAGGTAGAAATCTATAACACACTTCTGTTTTGATTGGGAAAGAATCAGAAGGAGCAAAACTTAGAAAAAAGTGATTTTAAAACAGCAGCTAGCCTACACAAATGTGTATCTTACCTAAAGTCCTGCCATCCCATAGTGGTGATGGATCTGGCTATGTCTAGACTTGCACTTCTGTCGGTCAGGAGTGTGTGTGTGGGGGAAACCTGTCCCTGACTGACATACTTTTCATCGACAAAAGTACCAGTGTGGACACCGCTATGTTGGCAGGAGACGCTCTCTCCCCAGCATGGCTACCGCCACTGGTTGGGGGTGGTTTGATTATGCTGGTTCGAGACCTCTCTCCCACTGGCATGGAACAGCTACGGGGAAGACCTTTCAGCAGCGCAGCTATGGTGGTACAGCTCTGCTGCTGTAAGGTCTGAGTGTAGACATAGCCTAAGCCGAGCTTCTTCTGAACTCTCTCCTCCTAGTTCCTGTATCCATCTTGTATCAGTCTTTTCCCCCTGCTCTCCTGAGGGAGTGCTCTTAGTAAACCTGGACTTTGGCCCTTCTGGCCACACCTGTTCTGTAGGCTCAGCAGGAAATCAAGCAAGATTCATTTGAACCAATTGTTTTGGCATTGTCCATTAACAGTTCTTAAGTGTCAGTTAATAGGTGACTATCCTGGGCCATGTCCTCTTTCCTGCCTGTAGAAATACTTACACCAAGCCACTCTGCTTCCTTTCCCAGACCTAAAGAAGAGC